TTTGAGCTCATTTGGAGAAAACCCTGGGGACTTGAATCTTTTTGTAGACACCCAAGTCAAAATGGCGCCGAATTTTTGATCCAATATGGCCGACTTCCTGTTCGTCATAGGGGTGCACAATGATTGGCTTTTTGGCTTGTCTCCTTGAGTTCTATCACTGCTCCGAATTTCGTGATCATACGCCAAAATTTGTGTCTGAGCCTCCAATTCATTTCAAAATTTTGAAATTTCAAGGGGGCGCTGTTGAGTGGGGGGGCTTTGGACATTGTCGCGATGCCCATTTTATGAAATTTTTCGCCAGACCGGTCGATCTGGACCCTGGTTTGGGGACTTTTCGTCGACGTTCAGGCCCTCAAAATCGAGATCGTTTGCAAAGAAAAATAATAAATACAGCCGCAAGCGGCGATGATCGGCACCTCGCGCGCGCTTACGCCGCGCCCCGCAAAACGCCGCACCTCACACTGACCCTAATAAGCCTAAACTTAAACCTTACCCTAATCGTAATCCTAACCATAGCCCCAACCCTAGCCCTAAAAATCTTAATTTAATTTTCTGCAATTTTTTAAATTTGGAAAAAAAAAAAAAAAAATCCAAGATGTCGGACTTCCGGTTTGTAAAGGGGCGTGGTCACAATATACATTTTTGTTCTTATTGCCATGATGCATCTGGCTACCAAATTTGGTTTGGCTAAACTAGATCTCTTCCCATTTTAAACAGTAGGTTTAGGCTGTGTCTGCTCGTCTTCACCTACCAGTGCTTGGAGTTGAAATCTTCTCCTTCTCTGTTTGCGTGTGTCCACGAGAGCTGCGATCTGCAAATGAACAGAAAGTCCTCCTGTTTCACTCTTATACAAAAATGCTTTGTGAGTCACAAAGCTTTGAACATGACATGGCAGATTTAAAAAATCAAAGTCTTGGTTATCGTCTTGGTTACCACAGAACTTGGTAACCAAGACGATAGCAGTGAACCCAGAGCCAAAGGAAGAAAATGGACCTTCAAACTATGGAATTAAACTCTGGAAACTACAGAAACATTTCTTCATATGTAGCTGCAAAGTATCAATTCTGAGATTTGGGAATTTTAGACCCCGTTTACACTGAAACGAATCCACGTATCACCGTATCAGAAACAATCTGCGTCCAGACACGTCATATCTGTGTCCGCAAGCCTTCCCTATTCACACAGCTTTGAGCATATTTGTTTACGTTTTACAGAAACAAAACGTAAAACCACGTGTCTAATCTGCATTAACTGAGCGCTCAAAAAACTGCTCGCTTTTGTGCGCTGATGTGGTTCAGCTTCTGTCGGACTAAAGGACACAACTCAGTGGATTATCTGTGTTCTTTCTGTGACAGAGGGATCTTCTGCTGATGCTGACTCTGTTCTTAAACCAGGACTAAACCAGGTCTAAACCAGGACTAAACCAGGACTAAACCAGGACTAAACCAGGACTAAACCAGGACTAAACCAGGACTAAACCAGGACTAAACCCAAGCCTAAACTTAACTAAGTTAAACTAAGTTAACTTTGTTAACTTAAAGTGTGTAAACATTTTTTAACTATTTTTTGGGGGATTCTTTGCGCCCCTGCTGGCCAGTGGTGGGAAATGCATCATGTCCGTAATAGACTTTTTTGCTTGTAATCATGCATAGAATTTAATTCCCAAATTTGGTACAAATCTGATAATGTTGACGTTTCACGTCTATGCTAGGGGGCGCTATAGAGTTCACTTTTATTAAATTTCATATTTCATCACATTCAGGCCTGGATCACACAATTGTGATTTGAATTTGAGTTCTGTAGGACAATGCCTGTGGCCGTGACAGGTCACCCAAAAAAACAGGAAATGAAGGCGTTCTTCGCCGGCGTGCTACGGGCGAACCGTAAGGATTATCAAAATAAAAATGTATGATTTTTGTGAGTTTATGTCTGTAGATGTGACATGTCAAATTTGAGCTCATTTGGACAAAACCCTGGGGACTTGAATCTTTTTGTAGACACCCAAGTCAAAATGGCGCCGAATTTTTGATCCAATATGGCCGACTTCCTGTTCGTCATAGGGGTGCACAATGATTGGCTTTTTGGCTTGTCTCCTTGAGTTCTATCACTGCTCCGAATTTCGTGATCATACGCCAAAATTTGTGTCTGAGCCTCCAATTCATTTCAAAATTTTGAAATTTCAAGGGGGGGCTGTTGAGTGGGGGGCTTTGGACATTGTCACGATGCCCATTTTATGAAATTTTTCGCCAGACCGGTCGATCTGGACCCTGGTTTGGGGACTTTTCGTCGACGTTCAGGCCCTCAAAATCGAGATCGTTTGCAAAGAAAAATAATAAATACAGCCGCAAGCGGCGATGATCGGCACCTCGCGCGCGCTTACGCCGCGCCCCGCAAACGCCGCGCCTCACACTGACCCTAATAAGCCTAAACTTAAACCTTACCCTAATCGTAATCCTAACCATAGCCCAACCCTAGCCCTAAAAATCTTAATTTAATTTTCTGCAATTTTTTAAATTTGGAAAAAAAAAAAAAAAATCCAAGATGTCGGACTTCCGGTTTGTAAAGGGGCGTGGTCACAATATACATTTTTGTTCTTATTGCCATGATGCATCTGGCTACCAAATTTGGTTTGGCTAAACTAGATCTCTTCCCATTTTAAACAGTAGGTTTAGGCTGTGTCTGCTCGTCTTCACCTACCAGTGCTTGGAGTTGAAACCTTCTCCTTCTCTGTTTGCGTGTGTCCACGAGAGCTGCGATCTGCAAATGAACAGAAAGTCCTCCTGTTTCACTCTTATACAAAAATGCTTTGTGAGTCACAAAGCTTTGAACATGACATGGCAGATTTAAAAAATCAAAGTCTTGGTTATCGTCTTGGTTACCACGGAACTTGGTAACCAAGACGATAGCAGTGAACCCAGAGCCAAAGGAAGAAAATGGACCTTCAAACTATGGAATTAAACTCTGGAAACTACAGAAACATTTCTTCATATGTAGCTGCAAAGTATCAATTCTGAGATTTGGGAATTTTAGACCCCGTTTACACTGAAACGAATCCACGTATCACCGTATCAGAAACAATCTGCGTCCAGACACGTCATATCTGTGTCCGCAAGCCTTCCCTATTCACACAGCTTTGAGCATATTTGTTTACGTTTTACAGAAACAAAACGTAAAACCACGTGTCTAATCTGCATTAACTGAGCGCTCAAAAAACTGCTCGCTTTTGTGCGCTGATGTGGTTCAGCTTCTGTCGGACTAAAGGACACAACTCAGTGGATTATCTGTGTTCTTTCTGTGACAGAGGGATCTTCTGCTGATGCTGACTCTGTTCTTAAACCAGGACTAAACAGGTCTAAACCCAGGACTAAACCAGGACTAAACCAGGACTAAACCAGGACTAAACCAGGTCTAAACCAGGTCTAAACCAGGACTAAACCAGGACTAAACCCAAGCCTAAACTTAACTAAGTTAAACTAAGTTAACTTTGTTAACTTAAAGTGTGTAAACATTTTTTTAACTATTTTATGGGGATTCTTTGCGCCCCTGCTGGCCAGTTGGTGGGAAATGCATCATGTCCGTAATAGACTTTTTTGCTTGTAATCATGCATAGAATTTAATTCCCAAATTTGGTACAAATCTGATAATGTTGACGTTTCACGTCTATGCTAGGGGGCGCTATAGAGTTCACTTTTATTAAATTTCATATTTCATCACATTCAGGCCTGGATCACACAATTGTGATTTGAATTTGAGTTCTGTAGGACAATGCCTGTGGCCGTGACAGGTCACCGAAAAAACAGGAAATGAAGGCGTTCTTCGCCGGCGTGCTACGGGCGAACCGTAAGGATTATCAAAATAAAAATGTATGATTTTTGTGAGTTTATGTCTGTAGATGTGACATGTCAAATTTGAGCTCATTTGGAGAAAACCCTGGGGACTTGAATCTTTTTGTAGACACCCAAGTCAAAATGGCGCCGAATTTTTGATCCAATATGGCCGACTTCCTGTTCGTCATAGGGGTGCACAATGATTGGCTTTTTGGCTTGTCTCCTTGAGTTCTTTCACTGCTCCGAATTTCGTGATCATACGCCAAAATTTGTGTCTGAGCCTCCAATTCATTTCAAAATTTTGAAATTTCAAGGGGGGGCTGTTGAGTGGGGGGGCTTTGGACATTGTCGCGATGCCCATTTTATGAAATTTTTCGCCAGATCGGTCGATCTGGACCCTGGTTTGGGGACTTTTCGTCGACGTTCAGGCCCTCAAAATCGAGATCGTTTGCAAAGAAAAATAATAAATATAGCCGCAAGCGGCGATGATCGGCACCTCGCGCGCGCTTACGCCGCGCCCCGCAAACGCCGCACCTCACACTGACCCTAATAAGCCTAAACTTAAACCTTACCCTAATCGTAATCCTAACCATAGCCCCAACCCTAGCCCTAAAAATCTTAATTTAATTTTCTGCAATTTTTTAAATTTGGAAAAAAAAAAAAAAATCCAAGATGTCGGACTTCCGGTTTGTAAAGGGGCGTGGTCACAATATACATTTTTGTTCTATTGCCATGATGCATCTGGCTACCAAATTTGGTTTGGCTAAACTAGATCTCTTCCCATTTTAAACAGTAGGTTTAGGCTGTGTCTGCTCGTCTTCACCTACCAGTGCTTGGAGTTGAAATCTTCTCCTTCTCTGTTTCGTGTGTCCACGAGAGCTGCGATCTGCAAATGAACAGAAAGTCTCCTGTTTCACTCTTATACAAAAATGCTTTGTGAGTCACAAGCTTTGAACATGAATGGCAGATTTAAAAATCAAAGTCTTGGTTATCGTCTTGGTTACCACAGAACTTGGTAACCAAGACGATAGCAGTGAACCCAGAGCCAAAGGAAGAAAATGGACCTTCAAACTATGGAATTAAACTCTGGAAACTACAGAAACATTTCTTCATATGTAGCTGAAAGTATCAATTCTGAGATTTGGAATTTTTTAGACCCCGTTTACACTGAAACGAATCCACGTATCACCGTATCAGAAACAATCTGCGTCCAGACACGTCATATCTGTGTCCGCAAGCCTTCCCTATTCACAACAGCTTTGAGCATATTTGTTTACGTTTTACAGAAACAAAACGTAAAACCACGTGTCTAATCTGCATTAACTGAGCGCTCAAAAAACTGCTCGCTTTTGTGCGCTGATGTGGTTCAGCTTCTGTCGGACTAAAGGACACAACTCAGTGGATTATCTGTGTTCTTTCTGTGACAGAGGGATCTTCTGCTGATGCTGACTCTGTTGTTCTTAAACCACTAAACCAGGACTAAACCAGGACTAAACCAGGACTAAACCAGGACTAAACCAGGACTAAACCAGGTCTAAACAGGACTAAACAGGACTAACCAGGACTAAAACCCAAGCCTAAACTTAACTAAGTTAAACTAAGTTAACTTTGTTAACTTAAAGTGTGTAAACATTTTTTTAACTTTTTTTGGGATCTTTGCGCCCCTGCTGGCCAGTGGTGGGAAATG